TTAAATATGTCATCCCGAGCTGTGACAGATGTCCCTGCTTTTGCAACCTTCACCGAGACCAACAAACCCAGGGCAGCATAACAATGAATGTGGTGGTCACAGCCTTGTTATCTGTGCATTTTTTTAAACTAAAAAACATCCCATATCATGACACAACACAGCATGTAGTTCCATATTGTGAAATGAAGGACTTCACAATATCATCCAATGCCTTGTATGAGAGTAAAGGTTTGGATCGTCATGTTGGCATCTGAGAAAACATGAATAAGGCGCTGGAATTCTTATTAAGACTGTAAGAAGTGGACATAATGCTGTTAATGCCATAAACATGCAATCCTTCTAATGGCCGGGGGCGGGGGAACTGTCTGTTCCTATCAGAAAAAATAACTTTTTTTAATTTAATAGCTCAGCAAAAATGTCCCTAATGAGTGTACTGTCTCAATCCGGAGTCTGAAGTCTTCTTCCATTTAGTATTTTGCTATTTATGGTAAATAAAGCAAGCAATGCTTATTGGTGTGTTTCCATGGGAATGCAAAGTCGCTGTCACATCTCAAACTTATATGGAATTCATTGTTGAGCCTTCGGGTTAATCCTCTCAGACGTGTTCTTGTTCCTGCAGCGTGACAGAAGACACAGGAAGTACACAATGTACACATTTCACAAATAAGTACTCCTTAACTTCCTACTGATTTTATGATGCTTGCTAAATTTCTAAGCTTGACTCAAAAAGATTTTGATCAAAATATAGCAGCAGGGGGCGCTGGTGGCGCAGTGGTTAGGGCGCGCGCCCCATGTATGGAGGCTGTCGTCTGTCGCCTGGGTTCACATCCCACCTGTGGCTCCTTTCCCGCATGTCATGTCAGCCCAAAAATAAATCTTAAAAAAAAAATATATATATATATATATATATATATAGCAGCAGAAAAACTAAGCGAGTCTTTAAAACTCATACACAAACAGGAGCTGCAAGGAGCATTGACCCTCAAGCACCTTTGCCTTTACAGCATTTCATCGTTTTCTGGTCAGAATATTGTTCTCCCTCCCTCATATACGTTAAAGTAAGTTTACATTGAACTTCAATGAAGGGCATGGTGCAGGTAAAGGCAGCTAGAGGCAGATTGCAGTTATTTGCTCAGGAACACCCATCACAATATGTTAATAAAAGCAGCTGTGCTGTTTCCGAACTTGTATTCAGTAATGTGCTGGCAGTTATTTGGTTATTTTATCCCTCATGCAAGACAAAACATTTAGCTTGAGCTACAGTTAGGGCTGTGCAATCAATCATGATTTTATAGTTATCGCGATATGAGTCTTTGCAATAAACACATCGCAAAAGTCTGATTTTATCAGCCCTGTGTACGTCCCACTTGTTGGATGGAAGCCTGGGTATACTGACCATATTGCGACAACATATCAATGCAGTCCTATGAAGCTAAAGCTTAATATCAGCTGCCTTCTGATTAATTAATGCCAATTTATTTTAAAGAAAATTTTGGATTTAGAAGGGACATGTTGCAAACAACTGTAAAACATGAAAAACAGCAGCTTTATTTTTGTTTATTTATCATTTCATATTGTCATTGCAACATTGAACAATGTTATCACACATTGCATATTTTTGTCATATTGGCAGGCATAGCTACGAATCAGTTTTTTTGGGAGGAAAAAAAAGCTTGTTGAGAATGATATCCTGGGATAAGTCTGATGCCATTCTTCTTTCTGAATTTTGGGGTCTGGCTCAACTGACAGATGGATGCTTTGTTGCCATTAGCAAGAAGGCTAAAGGCCCACCTCAGCTCTGCCTCTTAGTCTGTTACTAGGTTGACCGAAAGCTAGTGTGCCTGACAGCATTTCCAATAAGGGTACCTCATTCTAAGGTCTTTAAAGCTTCAGAAACCAATGGTTAGCTTCATTGAGACAGTGTCATATTTTATAACCTACAGTAGTGTTGTAGTCAAGACCACTAACCAAGAACAAGACGTTTAGGGATGAGACAAAGTCAAGACCAAGACCAAGCCAGAGCCAGACCACCACAAGACCAAGACCATAAATATCACTCTACAATCATCATCTTGCGTTCAGGGGGTGTCACTCACTCACTTAGACCCTAACACTGGGAATGTTGCAGCTGTAACCGGATCATAAAAATCTAAATTAAAGTTTTTCGTTTTTCTATAAAGAGACATTTTCCTTCTAATCACAGTAATGAAGTGGAAAAAAATCCTGTAGGTGGTGGTAATGATTTCAAATCCAGAGTCCGCCCAGTCTGAGGCCGAGACGAGGCTGAGTAAAAATGCTCTCAATTCCGAGACAAGACCGTTGCTTATGTCACCAGATCAGATACAGGCACACGGGAAGGAGGTTTGGCACGCTTATGTCGGTATGCTCAGGTAAAAGGATTGGGGCAGAAACAACTGATTACACAACAGAGAGAGAGGGGCGTGGTCCTTTCCCTGAAAATTTGATGTAAAAACTTTGCTTCAGTGACATTGAGAGTAAGAATACTCCTGGGCAAACTGATATAATAGAAATGAACATAGCAGGTAGTGACAAACTCTTTGAGCCTTTGAAAGCTGCAAAGGTTCTTTCTATTAATATCAAGCATGTTCATGGACACTCCCCCCCCAGTCTCATATATTGTTTTTGATATTTTATTTTATTATCTTGTTCAATCATACTGTTAGATATTCCTGTACAAAGGCACCGTGGTATTTTAGTTGGTTTGTGGGTCAAATTGAAGAAGTGTCACACAGGCACTTTTGGGGCAGCTCTGGGCAGCACAGGGGTCTTTGATGCCATGTGTAGCTCAGTCGACCCAGATGTCCGAGAGTGTGCAGCCACGCTGAGTTGATGTGTTTGTGTCTCTGTGTTTCAGACCGAAGTAAAAGAATAATCATAAAACTCATGCACGCTTGGTTCTTTGTGTACAAATGTGCAACACAGGAAATTAAAACTCATGAGACACATCTGCAGGAAATCCTGTCTCAGTGATTCATGTATCTGCAGATATCATTTCTTCAAGCAGGCATGAGCCCTTTTATTTGACGTGTGATGTTGCCAATAGAGTGCTGAGGGTGTTTTTGTAAACTTGTTGATGATGATCATCAGTTATGTAATATAAAAAAGGGGGAGTGTTTTGTCCCTCTCAAGTTAGAACAAGCAGCCTGTAGTTGGCAGCAGTTCTGTTCATCCTCTGTGTTAGGATTGTGTGTGTGTGTGTGTGTGTGTGCGTGCGTGGGTGTGTGTGTGTGTGTGTGTGGTGTGTGTGTGTGTGTGTGTGTGTGCGTGCGTGGGTGTGTGTGTGTGTGTGTGTGTGTGTGTGTGTGTGTGTGTGTGTGTGTGTGTGTGTGTGTGTGTGTGTGTGCGTGCGTGCATGCGTGGGTGTGTGTGTGTGTGTGTGTGTGTGTGTGTGTGTGTGTGTGTGTGGGTATGTGTGTGTGTGGCTCAGTCAGGGCCTGTGTGAGGAGTGAGTACAGTACACAATGAGGCAGAATGTGCTGATGCAGCTCTGACTTTAGAAGCGATGGACCCCGCCCTAACCTGAGGTGACTGCCGGAGCTCAGAGGAGAGATTTCTTCCTTTTCCTCCCGTCAAGCTGCCACATAGAGTCAGAGAGATCACAAACACAAACTTGTGACAGGCCAACACCAGAACACCCCTGACTCTAATGAAAACACAACGTATTGCACAAACAACACAAGTGAATCGCTCCTCCAAGACACTGTTTGCTGTGTCTTACTGTTTCAGATCCACTGAGAACATGAAAGCACTAAACAACTTAAAGCTGCAGTGAGAAACTTTTGGATGATGTTGCTTTTGACGCCCCCTGTGGACAAAGTGTAATTTTTATCTCTTTGCTGATCTCTTTCTTTACATGCGTTGATAATGTTTTTGACAATATAGGTAATCCCTCTGTATTTTAGATGTCCAGCATACTACACCTCACAATGAATCTTTGATTTGGAGGATGTAATAATGCTGTTTCACCAGTTTGTTCAATGACTTGTCCGACACCTACCACGTAGCAGGGCTGATAAGATTAAGATTAAGATCTACTTTATTGATAGAGATAGGGATATAAAGTAACTAAAGAATGAAAATATCATGTATCTGATGGCTTGGTTTGCTTTTGTGGGTCTGATGTATATAATTTCTATTAATATCAGTCTGTTTTATCAGTTTTAAAGCATACTCCAAGGTTTAGAATGTTGTTGGTATTTTTACTTTATGGATAAAATATGGTTGTCCTTGTCCCTTGAGAAAATTCTGCAATTCTTCTTTGTCAAACAGGAAGCAGCAACTTGCATATTTGTAATTCTAGATAGCTAAATAGCCTAAAGTAACTGTTGGGTATGCATGTGCAGAGATGAAAGTGGTGACTCTGCAAGTTGATATATTTCTAAAGAAAAGTCAAACTATTCCTTTACAATTTACTCTGAATGGCCCTTTGCTTTATGGCAAGTTACTATAAGATTAAGATGCCTTAATATGTAAGGCCACACGTTTAAGTCTATTTGTAAACTTTATGCAACAAAAACATTTGGATTATCATTTATGATTTTTACCTCCTGAATTAGTGGGAAATAGTGGGAGATTTCCATTGAGAAAATGATGACTTATTTTCTTTGTACATTACAAATAGAGTATTTTAGAGGACATCAACATAAATTTGCATTATTCCGTTTGTAACTGAAGCAGAAACGTGAAGGCTAATAAGGCCAGCTATAAGGTTTGGTACCACTTTGGGTATTTTTTTTTAAGCTTAAGCCCGGGTTTCATTTAGCAGAATTGGGGCACAATCTATCTATTCAAGCATGTCATTGTAAATCAGCAGTGTTAGATAAAGTAGTATGCCTACATGTTATTACTCTGAGGACTCGTTGCTGCATGAAGGGTGTTATAATGCAGCGTTTGCGCACAGAAGGTTGTGTCGGAATTTGTCTGGACACGCCTCTCTGTCATAACACGGATGTTTCTGCAGCCTTTATAACTGCGTAAGTCTGGTGATCCGGGCGGACACCTGGAAGAGCAGCCGAGCAACGCAGACAGCTTCTCTACAACCCAGCATCTGCCTTCACTCCTCACCTGGTAATAGAACATTTTCGTCTCCATCCTGCATGCTTTAATACTATATTACAACAAGAAAAACTCCCTGAAACTATTCACATAGTTAATGCAATTATTTGGGTTATTTTACCTTTTGAAAAAGTTTAATAAATGATCATAAAGTCTCTGCATGACTGGTCCGCTCGGTCGTATTCTGCAGTGATGTGCAGAAAATAGTTAACGTTATGTAGTCCATAGTTTGTGATGTAAATAATATTCGGTAAGTTGTAAGTATATGCAGAAACTACGTTTTTGTACATTTGTTAATAAACTAAAACCAGTTGGAAATCCTGTCTTGCATAATATAATTAATTCTATATCAATATAATCTGTTTTATATCTGAAACTTTAAATGCAGTTCTTTAAGACAGAAAGATAGTTTTTTGTTCTTGTCTTTGGAGTGGCTACCCCTAATTACCAAAGCAACATTGTACTGCAGTTTGGTAGTTAATAGACACTCCCTGGCACATCAGGTGTTGTTTCCCTTCAGCTAATAAGACAACCCACTTTATTAATCACAACCTACCTGAATTACAGGTTTTGCAACAATTGCTGCAAAGAACATCTGCAGAGTGCTTGGTGCTTATACTCATAAACAGAATTAAGATTCCTGTTCATGTAATAAGGTTTAATCCAAATCATAGTTGTTAAAAAAAATGTGTCTTCTCTCAGGCCCTGAGCAAGATGTCACACAAAGAGTTCCAGAGAGCCGGGAAAAAGCCCGGCCTTCAGGTGTGGCGGGTGGAGAAGATGGATTTGTCACCTGTACCTGATGAATACCATGGAAACTTCTTCACCGGAGACTCTTACCTACTGCTCTACACCAGCGACTCCAACCGGCCATTCTATAACATTCATGCATGGCATGGTATTGGATTCTTTGCTTACGCCTTCATTGTCTGTGCGTCATTGAACAGTCATTCGTTTTCTGTTTTCACTATTTATGACTTTATGTTGTACAACAGGCAGCGAGGCTTCTGCAGATGAGAGAGGTTGTGCCGCCATCTTCATGACCCAGCTGGATGACTTCTTGGGTCAAAGCCCAAGACAGTTTGTGGAGTTTCAAAATGAAGAGTCGAAGACCTTTATGAGCTACTTCAAAAGGGGCGTCCAGTACAAGGTGAAAAATGCTAATGACGTATCATATAAGCATGTTTTTATAGGCGTTATTATTATATTTCAATTAAAGTATTAAGCCATCTAGTGACACCAGTCCACAGATGTTGTTAAAGGTTGTGGGTAATGTGGGAAGGAGAACTCCTCAGAGTGCTATGTTTGGTACTCTTGGAGACGTGGTGAGTGGCTCCCTTGGGGTTTATCCGCATGAGGTTTCCACGGAGAGCCTGAACTGGCAAACAAGCTGAGAAGGAACATGCTCAATAAACAACAACAAGGCTGCAGAGTTCAATATGAAGCAGGCCAATGGAGAAACGAATGTTGTTTTTTAACATCACAAATCGACATATTTGAAGTTGAATATTAATCTCTACATGTAAGGACACAACAAAAACATCTTTAAATGTGTAGTTTTTGGCAATATGCTTGTTTGCTCTATTTGCAAAGAAGTGTGTAAAATGCCTTTATGTGAGAGCATGAGAGCAAAGTGACACTGTGGGAATTTCCTAACCGTCGAAGGCAGTGTAAAAAACACAGTTCCTGGAGTGTCCACTTGGGGCTGGCTCTAAAAAGCCAAGGATACCACATTAAGCCTCATGTAAAAATTCCCAATTTTAAAGCTTAATTAAACATCTTTACAGCTCAGTTTAAAAATGTTTTTGGTGATTTTTCTATATGTAAAAACAGCATGGGCTGAATTTATTAAAGTCCCCATGATATAAAAAATACAATTTCCTTGTTTAATCCAGCGTCCCTGTGTTAAAAGGTCATTTATCTGCCATTATCTGCCAAATGTAATTTTGAAAAAAAGTATTAAAGTAATCGTATTCTCTCTTCCTGCCCCTTCTTAATAAACAAATAACTTCAATTCATTTGTCGTTTGATTTTGATCAGCCGTAACCTTCTGTGTTACAGTGAGTGACACGCCCCCTGCACACAAAATGAGGATTTTTCAGTAATAAGGTCTTGGTCTTGACTCTGCCTCGACCCCTAAATGTCTTGGTCTTGTCTTGGTCTCGGGTATGAAAGTGGTTTTGCTCTTAACCTACGTCTTCAACTAAATGTAACTTTCCTCCTGTCAAAGCAAGGTGGAGCACAATCTGGCTTCCAACATGTGGTCACCAACAGCGCAGATGTAAAACGCTTGCTGCATGTTAAAGGTAGACGGACAATCAGAGCCAATGAGGTGGATCTGAAGTGGGGAAGCTTCAATAAAGGAGACTGCTTCATCATTGACTTGGGAAAGGTAATATGGAGAAAGTGACTCTATACTTGGAATATGTGAGAATGAGAATGAAGCGACTGGATAAATTCAGTGTTTAACCATTACTTTATTTTTGTCCTTATATCCTCTGCTATGCTCTTGGAAATGCTAGATAATCTACCACTGGTCAGGAAGTAAAAGCAATCGGTTCGAACGCCTGAAGACCACCGAGCTGGCCAAAGAGATTCGTGATAATGAGCGTAAGGGCCGAGCTGATGTCGAAATGATAAATGAGGGTGAAGAGCCAGAAGAAGTCATTAATGTAAGCTTTTATTATTATTATTATTTTTAGTTGTTACCGTTGTTACTCTGTGTGCACCTGCACTATCATAGGTCTGGTACACCTCCCCTTCTTAACGTGCACCTGTTGACAAGCAGAGGGTAAAGATGTTGTGGGAAGCATAACATAAATGTCCTTTGAAAAGGATCAATATTATTAACAGATTTTGCGCAAATATGACTCTGTTGCCATGATAGTTGGGCTTTGGCCAAGAGGCTACATTCGAGATCCAGGGAAAATAGAAAGAGAAAACTTTTATTTTTGTATTTTTTAAAGATTTATTTTTGGGCTTTTTGTGCCTTTAATTGAGAGATAGGACAGTGGATAGAGTCTGAAATCAGGGAAAGGGAGTAGGGAATGACATGTGGGAAAGGAGCCACAGGCTGGATTCGAACCTGTGCCGCCTGCCTCCATGCATGGGACGCGCGCACTAACCACTGCGCCCCAGAAAGAAAACTTTTTTGGCATAAAGTGGATTTAATTGTTTATTTGTGTTGAAACCTGAGACATAAGTGGGTCTAAAGCTGCCAAACATCAGGCAATGACACAGATAACAATACAGCTTTATGTTACGACACAATCTGTTATGAATGATATCTGCAGGGATGTACTCTCTATTTCTTGCTCTGTCCCTCTCTCTGTTTCTCCTCATAGCTTCATCATCACCGTCCTCTTCCTCTTAGCCTCAGCCATCGTATCAACCTTACAGAGACGCGCTAACCGGCTTCCTTTAAAAACTGAAGGCTGGTGTGTGAACCAGTGCCGTAAAGCCGTACGCACTCATAGTGAGATGAACTTGGCTTGCTGCCCAAAGTTACATACTGCAGTATACAGGCAATTGGGCGAACATGGGAGAGACACCATTTTCCCTGTTGAAAGTTATTGTGCTATTAAATCGACCTGAGAAAGTATTATTCTAAGGTGGAAAAGTTACATATTGTTGCTTTAATCTGCTTCATTTGGCTACTATAGGATGCAGATATGATTTTGCAGTCTGGGTGTGTGTTTATGTACAGGTGCTTGGACCCAAACCCGAGCTCAGCGATGCTGTTCCTGAATCTGATGTATCTGCTGACAAACAAAACAAGAACAAGGCATCGCTCTATTTGGTAAAAACACACAAAAATGTTCTGTTCTTTGTGATAGATTATTGATCATAAATGCATCATCACCTCCCATCATCAGATGATACGTGGAGATGTCTTAATCCTCTAATTTCTTTGTAGATTTCTGATGCTGCTGGCTCCATGACTATGTCTCTGGTGGCGGATAAAAACCCATTCAAACAAGACATGCTCTCCCAGAAAGAATGCTACATCCTAGACAATGGAGGAGACAGGAAGATATTTGTCTGGAAAGGTACTTGATTGTGACATCTATACATTTCTGCAGCTCTCTGAGCGTTTGAAATCTCTAACAACTGTTCAACACTTAACTTCAGGGAAGGAGGCAAGTAAGGACGAGCGAAAAGCCGCATATGCTACTGCAGATAAATTCATCAAAGACAAGAAGTATGCCAGGAATACTCAGGTAGTATGGATATGGCTAAGTCCCCATAACTTCATGCATCCTGTCTTTTCTCCTTAACTCACCTGCTTACTCTTCTGTACATTCAAAATGAACAGGTCATGATCATGGCAGCCGGGGGTGAGACTGCACTGTTTAAGGACTTCTTCTTCAACTGGCTGGACAAGGATGAGACCACAGGCCCAGGTGAGACCTACACCATCGGCCGGATTGCCCGGGTGAAGCAGATCCCCTTCGACTGCTCCACACTACACAGCAACAAGGCGATGGCTGCCCAGCATGGGATGGTGGATGATGGCTCCGGGGAAGTCCAGGTAAAGTTCAAATTGCTAGTTCATCAGTGACCATTTTTCCACAATAATAACATTGACAAGCTTTGAATCAGATCAGACGACACACAAGTTTTGTTGTTAAGGAGACAAGACTAAAATGTTAGTGGTAGGCTGTCAGACGTTTAAAAATCCATGATATTCGCCCCCCTTCTGTGAGTTGTGTGCTGCCCGGCAGACAGCAGGAGGAGCATGTACATGTGTGTGGTGTAGAGAGCATGAGCTGACACAATAACGTGTGTAATTAGCGCAAGAAGCTAACGATAGCCTGACTACGGTCTGCATGGCCTCATAGTCTAAAACCCTTTTTCCACTAAAGTGTCGTAACTAAGCTCAGCCGTCTTCATGTCTTTGTCCATTCATATTGACTCCACAACACTGAATATTGGTGTCCCAGTCTGCACATTGTATTGACTAAGAAATAGCTAGAAGCAACTACGCCAGCATGTTGATGTGACAGTGTTGGTTGTCTGTAGATCTGGCGTTTGGAGAAAGGGGAGAAAGTGCCGATGGATCCATCCACCTATGGACAGTTCTTCGGAGGTGACTGTTACCTGTTGCTGTACACCTACAACACTGGTGGGAAAGAGAAGCATATCATCTACACCTGGTCAGTGCAACCTCCTCTATGTAATATGCCTGTTAGAGTTCATGAAGGGTTATAATACACAGCTTGCTGCAGTAAGGCTTACCCTGCTTTCAAGCCTCCTCAGTAAATATATCCCCGTTGATTCAGCTCATGACGACATGTCTTATTGCTGTCGATAGGCAAGGACAAAAGTGTTCCATAGATGAACTGGCTGCTTCCGCCTATCTCACCGTCAATCTGGATGATTCCCTGGGTGGAGCCGCAACCCAGGTAAGATCTTCACTGCTATAGGGATCTCCTGTGTTTGTCAGGTTTTTATGTGTGTTGTTAAGGCATTCAATATAAAAGGCTGGAGGAAACGTTAAGTCTGTTTCACAACTAGCCGACCTTAAAATGTTCTCACAGTGGCTTTTTTCCTATCACAGTCATATTCTGGAGTTTATTTTTTCTAATTCTTTGTACTTAATTGTCATTTTCCAAGTTTTGAAAAGTTGTATCTTACATTCTTACGTAGTGCTACATACATTTATGTATGAATATATTTGGACTTAAAGCTCCTGTGAGGAGTTTTTTTAGCTTTTTAAGAAACATTGAAATGAACACGGACACATCTTTATGACCTACAAAAACAGAAAAGACCATCAGCTAGAGGATTCAGTTTTTTACTATTAAGTTATTCTAATGCTAAGAAATGCTGCTGAGGGGTAGGTGTCAGGCGAAGAGAAGCATGCTGTCTAAATTACCTTTTTTACAATTTTTTCGACAACAAACTGCTGTGTTTGACTGTTTTAATCAAGCCTAATTATTTATTTTTTTTGGTAATGAAAACACTATTCAATACTTACACATGTTTAAGACAAAAACAACACAGATAAAAACTGCTGCTTTGTCCCCAGGGGGCGCCAAATCTGCACAAACAGCGAGTTCCTCAGGAGCTTTAATTTGATGTGATGACATACTCCTACCTTTTAAGTTTAGGGAAAAAATGTGTTATCACAGCGTCTTCACAACTCGTGTAAGTTATGTTACTGCTATTTCCCTACAGGTACGAGTCACTCAGGGCCAAGAACCTGCTCATCTTGTGAGTGTATTCAAAGACAAGCCCCTGGTCATCCACCTGGGTGGGACATGCCGTGAGCACGGCCAGAGCAAGCCTGGAAGCACACGCCTCTTTCATATCCGCCAAAGCTCCACCAAAGCCACCCGGGCTGTCGAGGTCAGCCTTGTTTAGTACACTGAAAGTGCATTAAAGCAACAGCATTAAAGCAACAGTGTTTTGAAATAAACTACTCACATTTTTCATGTCTTTGTGCCTTTCTGACTCACTCAGGTGTTGCCCACTGCCTCATCCCTGAACAGCAACGACATGTTTGTGCTGAAGACAAGTGATTCCCTGTTCATGTGGAAGGGGAAAGGAGCAAATCCAGAGGAAATGGCTGTAGCTAAGTATGTTGCTGGCCTGCTCGGAGGAACTCCCAGTGAGGTGCAGGAGTCGCAGGAGCCAGGTGGGTGCTGAGAAAAACAACCTTTTATGTCAGCAGGATATGGCTGTAAAGTATTTCCTGTGGAAAACTGTGGTTTGCTTCTGGTTGTCAGCTGCTTTCTGGCAAGCATTGGGCGGTAAGAAAGATTACCAGACCTCCGTGAACCTGCAGAACCAGCAGACAATCAAGCCTCCAAGACTGTTTGGCTGTTCAAACAAGACTGGCAGGCTGATTGTGAGTATTTAAATTGGTTTCAATTTATTGAGATTCAAAATCTTTGTTTTAATGATGCACATAAATAGAACCACTTTAAAAAATGTATGTTGCTCAATATTCAGGCTGAAGAGGTGCCTGGTGAGTTCAGTCAGTTGGACCTACTACCTGATGATGTCATGATTCTGGACACCTGGGATCAGGTATGCTGCCTTCACTCTTATAGGGTTCCACAATTTATAAACCTGATTTATTTATTCATTTGATTATATTTTGGGTTTGGATTACTTAATAGATAAAATACATTTATTGAATATTTCAAGTAAGTTTTGCAGCATTAAAAAATAACTGTATAGAGATAGTTGACGTTTATTATGTTGGTTTTGTTATTTTGAAGCTCATAAAGAGGCCTTGGGTCGCCACCAGATTTCAAGGGGGGCCCCTGGCTGCCCCTCTGAACACAACCCACCTGAAGCATTAAGAAATTTCAATTTGTACCTCTAGGTCATACACTTTAAAATATGTAACAATGGGGCCTAAGTTAAGAGATTCTCCTTTAATATAATGGTTCAGATTTAGCTTTTTTGTATTTCTGTTCTATTGTTTTATTATTATATTTACCTCATCCCTAAATCCTTCTGTTTATCTCTCCCCCAGATCCACCTTTGGATTGGAAAGGAAGCAAATGAGTGTGAGAAAGCTGGATCATCCAAAATAGGTAAAACAAAAAGCACAGTACAAGATTTAGATAAACGATCTTACGGACCCTGTTCACTGATGTGTCTTTGTTTTCCTTCCAGCTCAACAATATCTGGACTCAGATCCTTCTGGACGCCTCGGTTTGTCTGTCTGCACCATTAAGCAGGGGGCGGAGCCCCCCTCATTCACTGGCTGGTTCCACGCCTGGGACCCCAAGATGTGGGACTAAGATCTTATGCAGTGCATGAAAGAACATCACAGAGTTCATTAGTGGCAAAAAAGCAGTTGCATATGCATGTACCTTCAAAGATCCATTACTCTTCTGTCAGCACAGACAGTTACGGCTGTGGAAATCAGAATTTTAATAAAAGTCATTTTAAAAACCATACTCTGAATGTATTTCTTTATTAATTCAACAACACATGTGCATATTCTTCCCTTTACTTTAACATGTCCTCATTATTAAATGCCTTTATGGACTTGTGATCATTAGCCTGAATCCACTTCAGCACCATGCGAAGGCCGAGCTTGAAGGTAATCTTCAGCCTGAGTACACTAGGCTTCTGCTGAGTCGCAGACCTGAGGATTAAGGAGTGCAGGTTTTAAAAACAGCCTCCACATTGCCTGTTGCCTCCCCTCTTTTCCTCCTCTCCATTCTCTGCTGCTTGAGCTGCAAGACAAACACCACACACGGCACAATGAATCAGAAGGTGGTACTCATCACAGGCTGCTCCTCGGGGATTGGCCTCGCCTTGGCTGCCCGCATAGCGAAGGATGAGAAGAAGAGGTTCATGGGTAAACTTGCACCATTTTTTTAAAAAGTGTTGTATAACTTTTATAAAGCTGACGACTGTATTTCTGAAGCTGCTTCTTATATATAAATTCTATAAGGAGAATATATTAAAGCTAGCTGTTCATAGGAGTCTGTATCACTGATTTATTAAATTGTTACAAAAAGTTACAGCAATTGAAGAACAATAACTGTATAGACAATGGGCTGTAGGGAATTTATTTGGGGATTAAATGAGGGACTAGTCCCCCCCCCTTGCTGTAGATTACTCTGCATTTTTTTTTTTTAAAGAAAGCAGTTGGATTAAAAAGATTTTTATAAACTTGCACCAATATTTTGATCGATGATTTTGATATTTTAAAGCCCTCCCTTGCTGTCTTTTCTCCTAAACCTGCGTTGTGTTTGACACAAGAGAGACTGAAATATGTGGGCTGCACTTTTCTATATGTTATTAGGGTTAGGGTAGGGTTTTTTTAATTATTGCTTCAATTTTATTTTACATTATTCTACTGGGACATAACTCTCACACATAACCCAGTCTCTGCATGTTATAACAGCCCCTTACTGCTTACATTTAGGAATTATGAATATCAAATAATGAGTATCTGAGATGCTGTGATTAAAGCTATAAATAATACTCTTGGTAAGTGATTTTTCTTTAGCTGCAAAAACTGTTAAAAACACTTTGGATAAGTTGTAGGATTGTTGTTTTTGAGACTACTGGAGGGGAAAATGTTAGGCTATATTTTCACCTCTAAATCGAGTCAACAAGATCATCCGTCTCCATGAACGATGTCTCGGTTATTTTGAATCATACACACCCCATATTCTCAGCCGATTGCATTGGAACTACTTCCTTCAGAAGAAATCTATCAATGACTTCAGTTGATCCTGAACAGCTCTGACTCTTATGTCAAGAAACATGTTGTTGATTTTGACAGATGTCATTATTAAACACTTTTTACAAAATGAGCAGATAAATCTTGTGAGCAATTAATCAATAATGTGGAAACAGACATTAAGAGACAGAAAATGAGAATATATGCAATGCCAGAAGATACCACAAGGGGCAAACCAGAGAAACAGAAAGAGTAGCTGCAAGCACAATAAACTTTAGCTCCTTGAAATATAAAAATAAATACCTGGGGTGCGAGTAGCCTAGTGGTTAATGCGCACACTCCTGAACGGAGGCTGGAGTCCTCTGAGTGGGCGGCCCTGGTTTGAATCTGACCTGTGGCTCATTTCCCCCCAAGGAAAATCCTGCAAGGAGAATTTCTGTCACTGTTGGGACAGACAATAAAGATGATCTTATCTTATGTAATTCCCCACTTTCTCTCCTGATTTCTGACTCTATTCACTGCCTTGTCTCTAATAAAGCCACTTCATCCATAAATAATCCTTGTAAAAATCTGAAAACTATCTGCATCTGCAACGTTTGGTCAGATTTGAGTTTTGGGAGTGTGAATTTGTGATTATAGGTGCACTGGCCCTTTATGTCTGATGTGTCTTGTCATACTTTATGTTCACCAGAACTTCTGTTTAAAAGTTGTGCATAAAAAAGCAGGCTCTATATGTATCATGTTTTTGAAGTCTATGCCACCATGAGGAACCTCAGTAAGGCTGGAGCGCTGATCGAGGAAGCGGGCCGGTCTCTGGGCAGGACTTTGGAGATCAAACAGCTGGACGTGTGTGATGAGGACTCCATCAAAGCCTGCGTGGACAGCCTGCCTGAGCGCAGGGTGGACATTCTGAGTAAGCCTGAAACATCTAGTATATTAGCCCCTGAAAATCTTTTTAAATTCTAAGGTTTAGATTTTCAATGTTTTTTGTTGCATCAATTACACTTGTCATTCTTGACTTCCTTGTCACAGTAAATAATGCAGGGATGGGTCTGATTGGACCCATCGAGTGTCAGTCTATCGATGAGATGAAGACAGTCATGGACACCAACTTCTTTGGGCTTGTGCGGCTGCTGAAGGAAATCCTACCTGACATGAAGAGGAGGAAAAAAGGACATATAGTGGTGATCAGCAGCGTCATGGGAATTCAGGGTGCGACTGGTTGCATCATGTCAGAGTTTGTTTTTTGGTGCATAAATACCATTAGTAGTTTCTGAATCTGCTCTGTTTTTAAGGTATTTTATTCAACGACGTCTACGCAGCATCCAAGTTTGCAGTGGAGGGCTTCTGTGAAAGCTTAGCAGTGCAAGCCATGAGGTTCAATCTCAAGTAAGACACAAATAAGTGAACGCTCCTTCTGCAAGCATGCAGACATGAAACAGGTCCGTTTTCTCACTGAGATCCAGACAAGCAGGGATCAGTAAGGGAAACAGTGGTGCACTTCATGCCTGCAAATCCGCACTTGTCTATCTGCACACTCACATTGCACAACCAGATCATCCATTGTTTAACCACTGAGGAGAAAATATGCCAGCCAAAGTACGTCATGGCAGACCAACCACAGCACACCCTCGTCTGAGGGCAAGTCCTAACACACTATCCCTCAGTAACCTAATATTAAAATGGATAACTCTGCAGGGTGGTGTCAGAACGGAGCTACACTTTTTTTGCCACAGCATAACAAATATAAAATGCACTTTATTATGTTTGTTACATGCATTGTTTTTTTCTGTCCTCAGTATCAGCCTGATAGAGCCAGGTCCAGTGATAACAGAGTTTGAGCGTAAAGTCTATGACGAGGGTCTAAAGACTGATCTCAGCAAAGCCGACAAAGTGACTGCTGACATGTTCTCAAACATCTACCTGAAGAACTACAAGCAAATCTTTGAAACCCTCGGGCAGACTGCAGAGGACGTAGCAGAGGTAGAGTAATGTTCATCTGAATATCCTTAGCTTTATTGCTTTGATAGTTTTTTTTGTTACCATAATCCGTTCGTAAGGTTTCTGTGTTTTCCCCCCAGCACACACACAAGATCATCACCATGGAGAATCCTCCTTTCCGTCATCAGACAAACACGCTCTACACCCCGATGACCACACTCAAATATGCCGACCCCAACGGTGACCTCCCAATTGACACGTTTTACAAAATGGTGTTTGAACACGACAAGGTCTTCAACGCCAGTCTGAACTTCATCAAACTTTTACGCTGGAGAAGTCGTAAGAGCTTTACTTTGGAAAAGGACAAGAGCAACTAATAGATCGCGTTTCTGAGTTTTGCTATAATAATCCATGTCGAGCTTTCCCTGTTATTTTCCTTCATTATGTTTGACTTCTTTGTCCTGAGAAGGTGAAACACGGATTATTGAGAAATAAAAATGTGAAATATGTTTGTGCAGCTCGTCTTATGTGTGTCTGAAGTACCTGCTGCAGGCTTTAAACCACACCCCAGAACATACAGCCAACAACCATAACTCTCTTAACTCGTTAATCCTCCAAGCCCCATGTTACACTAATGTGAGCATGTAAGCAGAACTATGAAGGTCAGTGTGTAAGGTCAGTGTAGAGCTTTAAGTCAGATACAGTAGCCATGCTGTCTCTTTGAGGGATGATGTGCACTTTTCAGACATAAAGGACATTCATTTTGTGTCTTTGTAAACCACTTTTTAAGATGTATACTATGTGGTTGGGACAATGGCTTATATGTAGTCTAATCAGTCACGGCTTAGTATGTCCACTCTGACTTAAAGATAAACTTTTAATAAACAGTTATGTATGAGGGTTGTCAGAGAATAGGAAACAGTGGGGTGTGGCAAATGAAAAAGAAAAGGGTAAAACAGATATAGAAAAGAAACCAACAAAAAGGGACCCTCTTTTTTTAAAGAATAAAATGTCTTTATTGTCATGGCACGGTCATGCTTTAAGACCTTAAACCCCACTTCTACACTATTAGGCATTAAGCCTTTGTCACAATAGGTAATAATTAGTTCTGCACCGATGGGAATTTTCCACTTTCTGCTCCATGGAGTTGTGGCCTGCAGAAAGGTGTCAACACATAAAAACTATTTTAAAAAAAACGCCATCTGCTGGGATATTTACGTATTGACAACTCAATGCCTTTCATTGCTGCTTGAACATTTTAGACTTCCTGAATAAGGCTGGATGCTAATGCAGCATGGTGATTTATAATCACCATGCCATGATTATAAAGGGATTTCAAGTGGTTAATCAATCTTCTATGTACCTGTTATGAACAATAAGAAGGGAAAATTATTCTCATCCTTGGAAAATCTTGGGCCAATATAATAATAATAATAATAATAATAATGATAATAATAATACATTTTATTTATAAGCGCTCTTAAAAACTCAAAGACACTTTACAATAGTTAAAAACAGAAAGAACAGCACAGTAAGGACAGACTAACAGACACTGCAACATTACACACAAATCATAAAGAAAACAACAATAAAGAAAACAACAATAAAGGAACAGAAAATACATCACAATCATACATTAAATCATACATTAAATCATACATTAAATCATACATTAAATCATACATTAAATCATACATTAAAAGCTTGTTTAAAAAAATATACCAGCAGATAGCCTATACACAAATCTAAGCACATAGTGTGAAATTCCAGGTAATGCATATTTTTTCTTCTAAAAAAGCCATTAAGTGATGAGAAATTAAATACAAGGATATAAGAATAGAAATTATATAGAAAATCAATTGAAGGACTCTCCAACCATCATGTTTGTCCGTGTCCCGACGCATACTCCTCTTCCTCTTTTTCTCTCCTAACAATGATAAATAATTCTTCTCCTTTTTCCTCTTTTGACGTTCATTTACAAACTTTGGTACCCATAGCATCGACGTGTGCTTAGCAGGGCAGCAACAGTGAGTGATGTCAGATGGGGCCACTTAGGGAGAGTGTCTACTGTCACTGAAAAATGTACACATTTTGAACCTCTGCGGTGGTTTAAAGTTTGTCAGTCCTCAAGGGCCCCACAGTCTGATCCTTGACTAATAATGATAATAAATAAAAGAAAAGAGCAGCTAGTTGTAATACTCGCTGGGTCCAGTAGATGGGGCTAAACACCAGAGAGGCCTCTTCAAACACCTGTGGTTGATGCCGCTTCCGGTTCATTGTTTGACGCTGTATCCGGACGCTAAGCTAATGTTTCTTGATTAAAGAAAGTCTACCAGAACTGCTGATAGCTTTAAAATAGTTTGAATGTAATCGGTCAATTAGAGAAAGCGTAACTCGGTGCTGGTGTTGGAGCTTTATTTGTACTCGCTGTGTTTACCCAGCCAGCTGTTTATCCACATGTGGTCGGGTCGTTTCATTGTTAGCCTAGCATTAGCCATGCTCTCAGGCTGAGCGCTCACTCGTCTGCGGGGTTGCGGCAGGGACCAGAGCTGCTAGCTAGCTAGGTGGCTAGCTAGCTAAGCTGTTTGAAGTATTAACATATTTCTTTCATCTAATTTTTTTTTTGTGTGTTTATATATCTTTTGGCTGTTCGTCGCATTACGTGCACCAGCTGCTCTTAAACACGAAGCGTCAAGTGGCTAAAGTTAGCAGCCGGCTACGTCACGTCAGGTGTTGACATTAAAATAGGTGTTGACGTGAAGTTGTCTGAGCAGGTGATTTTACCTCCTGCGGTGTCCTGCCGTCGTTTTCACAACCCAGTGGACTCCAGGACCCTTTTTTTTTTTTTTAATTATCTTGGGTTGTGATAACTTTTGTCTTCCGCGATGGCTTCTTCGTCTGGAAACGACGACGACCTGACGATCCCGAGAGCAGCGATCAACAAGATGATTAAAGAAACTCTGCCCAACGTGAGGGTGGCCAACGACGCCAGAGAGCTGGTGGTGAACTGCTGCACAGAGTTCATTCACCTCATCTCCTCTGAAGCCAACGAGATATGCAACAAGTCTGACAAGAAGACCATCTCTCCAGAACATGTCATCAATGGTGAGTCCTGTGTTTGCACAACAATCAGTGTGTAAAGAAGGCTTGTCCCGACCCCTCCTGAGGTCGTATGGGATTCAACTGGGGTCGCCTGTGATTTTTATTTATTGATCAATCAAAATATATTGTATATTAGGGTCACTGTATTCACCATTAACTAGTGGCTTGTAAGTAGGGCTAGGAGATATAACCTCAGATCAATAGACAATAATGGACAGCATGTGAGTGTCACAGCAAAGGGTCTGAATACTTATGACCATGTGATATTTCAGTTTTTCTTTTTTAATAAATTTGCAAAAATTTCTACATTTCTGTTTTTTTTTCTGTCAAGATGGGGTGCTGAGTGTACATTAATGAGAAATAAAATGAACTTTTTTGATTTTAGCAAATGGCTGCAATGAAATAAAGAGTGAAAAATGTAAATGGGTCTGAATACTTTGCGTACCCACTGTATTTGTTGTGTTGTGTGTGTATATATGTGTTGTGTTGTGTGTTTGTATGTATGTGTTGTATGTATGTGTTGTGTGTTTGTATGTGTATATGTGTTGTGTGTTTGTATGTATATATGTGTTTGTATGTATGTGTTGTGTGTATGTATGTATGTGTTGTGTGTATGTATGTGTTGTGTGTTTGTATGTATATATGTGTTTGTATGTATGTGTTGTGTGTATGTGTTGTGTGTTTGTATGTATATATGTGTTTGTATGTGTATATGTGTTGTGTGTTTGTATGTATATGTGTGTTTGTATGTATATATGTGTTTGTATGTGTATATGTGTTGTGTGTTTGTATGTATATATGTGTTTGTATGTATATATGTGTTGTGTGTATGTGTTGTGTGTTTGTATGTATATATGTGTTGTGTGTTTGTATGTATGTGTTGTGTTGTGTGTTTGTATGTATGTGTTGTGTGTATGTATGTGTTGTGTGTTTGTATGTATATATGTGTTTGTATGTATGTGTTGTGTGTATGTGTTGTGTGTTTGTATGTATATATGTGTTTGTATGTGTATATGTGTTGTGTGTTTGTATGTATATGTGTGTTTGTATGTATATATGTGTTTGTATGTGTATATGTGTTGTGTGTTTGTATGTATATATGTGTTTGTATGTATATATGTGTTGTGTGTATGTGTTGTGTGTTTGTATGTATATATGTGTTGTGTGTTTGTATGTATATATGTGTTGTGTGTTTGTATGTATATATGTGTTGTGTGTATGTGTTGTGTGTTTGTATGTATATATGTGTTGTGTGTTTGTATGTATATATGTGTTGTGTGTTTGTATGTATGTGTTGTGTGTATGTATGTATGTGTTGTGTTGTGTTGTGTGTTTGTATGTATGCTGGCTGCTGGAACACCTACATTTCCCTGCTGGGATGAATAAAGTATATCTTATCTTATCTTCTTATTGATAGTAAGTTAGGAAGTTGGTTTACAGGAATTACAATGTCAAGGTACTTTGCTTAGTATGGCCCTTTTATGAGCTAGAAGTAAGCAAAAGCCACTAGTTAGTGGTGAATATTGTGACCTTAATTCAAAGTGTTAAACATGTTGACAAAAGTCTACTGTGGGCCAAAGCAAAACAAGAACACTTGCAGAGTCTCTGTCTGTCTCCATTGTGCAGAAATGTCATCCCAGCCTCTCTTCCTCTGTCCACAAAAATCTACACAAAGCCTAAAAGTTGTCTCAAATAAATGTTTACTTTTAACACAGTAGAAAATATATTACATGATTGAAGACATATTAATTTCAGAAAAAAAGCTGCACATGTTTTGGATGTCTGGGGTCGCCAGGGTTTTGTAAAGTCGAAGTGGGGTCATGAGCCAGAAAAGGTTGGGAACCATCAGTTCAAGGAACATAAGAGGTGTTGTGTCCATCGCCCTGCCATGGTTATTTTAAAACCACAGAGAGTAATTATTTGATTTTCTCACTGCAGCCCTGGAGAGTCTTGGTTTCGCGTCATACATCACAGAGGTGAAAGACGTCCTGCAGGAGTGTAAAACTGTCGCCCTGAAGAGGAGGAAGGCAAGCTCCCGGCTGGAGAACCTCGGCATCCCTGAGGAAGAACTGCTCAGGCAACAACAGGAATTGTTTGCTAAGGTATGTGCGTGCTGCAAGGCTGGAAACCAACTTTTTGGACTTAACATCTAAAAATAAGAGTCCTTGGTGAATATCTTATTCTCTGTGTTTTGCTGTTTTCCATAAGGATCCCACATTTTACTGAGCTGGCTGGAAATGGCTGTATGGATCAATTTAATATCATACTTAGAGTGCGCAGTAATATTGGGGATTGTAAAAGAGGGAATTGACAGCGTGTGTGTAGTGAAAATGAATAGCACAGGTGACAGTAGACTTTGAAACAGCAAAAATTTTAATCTTGCAAGATGGAGCAATTTACATCGACACTTCACAAGTATTCAAAGAAAAAGCCCACCTTTCTCCAGTAGGCATATATTCTTATACTGGAGGGGCATACACACACATATGTTGTGACAGTCATCTAAGAGACCTTGAAAATAAAGGAGTGCAGAGGGGAGAGTTGTCTGCTGATCCCAACAGACAAATGTTGTGTGCTTCTTTTCATGAACATAGCTTAGACAATGAATAAGAACACAACATTGATTTTCCCTAACAGTGTGGATTATTGTGAGATGTACAACACAATTTTAATGGTCAAAACTGAATCATTTCTAGGGGACTGTTCAAGATATTTTAGGCAGAATTGAACCTTGTTCATTGTTTTAAAAAGTTCGTAAAACAGGTTCATTTAAGCAAACATCTACATCACACTGATACGCTATAAGTAAGTAACACTTGCCTCAGAAGATGAATAAATGACAACTAGTAAGAGTACTGCAGTGTATTAAACTGTTGGAGGTTGCAGTATCTCTTCTTGGCAGATCCAGGCAGTAAACACCTCGGCCTCAGTGTCATCATCGATTATGTTGAAATATCAAACAGCACGCACATCTGAATAGTTGAGTACTGGGTGCTGGACAAAAAATGTATCCAAAGACAGAGGAAGACAAAGTCTGCACACCAGAAGCTACTCCGATGAACATTTATGGGAATAATCACTACATGTAGAAACAGAAACATAAGGCCTGAAATGTTACATGTGATGATAATTCCTATTAAATGTTAATTGGAGCAGCTTCTGGTGTGCAGACTTTGTCCTCTCTATCATCGATTATGTCGACATAATCAGGGATCCTGCAGGAACCTGAATGTAATGCATGCCAGGGCTACTCTAAGACAATAGTACATTACTTAGATTGAATTTTACAGAGTGTGAGGCTAATACAGGGAGATGGATTTGTTGATTATTATGGGACTTCTGCAACTTTACTAGATGGGAGTGCATTATCAATCGTTGTTGTGTATTTACAGGATGCATCAAAAAGAAGACAAGTATTTGTGTGCCTTTTGAATTAGCCAGCAAAAAGCTGAACATGAGACACACATACACAATGCAGATCTGAGTTTCACTTTAAAGCCTTCAACATGGGATAGAACACTTAAGCTAGAAAACAGTAAGCTAGGTTTTGAAATGATCCAACTGAGAAAAATTCTGAAGCCTTTTTGCAAAGTCTATGAAAGAGATTTGGGGATGGGGAGTTGTCATTATATCGTTCTTGTACGTCTAGCTTGCTACCTTTTAGGTTCAGAAATACTCCATTATTGTAAGGTAAGACTTTTAACAAGCATGCAACAGCCTAGATTTTTTTTTTTTGGTGCATTTTATTAAAAGGCAGGGTAGGTAATTTTCTCCAGATCCACTTTTTAAGATTTTTGTTGGAAATTGTCCTGACAGAAATTAATAACTCATGTGCTCTGAAAAAGGAACAAAGAAAATCCTTCACTGCAGCAGTTGTAAGCCTGTAAAAACTTTGACCAATGTCTGCCTCAAGGTACCAATCTGATGAACCAATCAGGCGCCTCCCTGTCTCCCTGCTCGCTCTCTACCCCACGAGCCCAGACTTAAAGCGCGTCACAGATGACAGAGTTTATACTGTGAGTTTGTCGTTGGCCGTTGTGAGTAGTAAAATAGTCACTTTAAAAAAAAAACATGTTTTATGGTAAAGTTTAGTGTTTACTTACGAGACATGAGACGACTTAGTTTCTATGATGAGCTGAGGTTAGCTTTTGAAACAGCAGCACTCGTGCATGTAGGTTAGGGCTGTGGCTTTTGAGGGCGCACAGAGGGGAGGGGGTGGGTGTAGATGGCGCACTGTGGGAATGCTACTTTGAAAATCCTGCAACAAAATAATGCATCAAGAATGAAATCTCTCCCATAGCTTTATTTAAATTTTGTTATGGTGTCAAAAACATTTTTGATATATAAACAAAATTGGGCTTTTACATGAAGACAACAGTTTTTGTTGTCTTTAGACTAATGCACGCCACCTTTGAGTGAAAAAATGCTGCAATACGAGTATTTTCAGCTTCATTTGGACACCACCATATCACCATCCTTAACCTCGGTTGATAACCAAATAAGCTCTTCATTCGCCCTCCTTTCTCTCATATCTCATCTCTGTGTTCGTGCAGGCGCGGCAGCAGCAGGCGGAGCTCGCCCAGCAGGAGTGGTTACAGATGCAGCAGGCCGCCCAACAGGCGCAGATGGCGGCATCATCTGCCAGCGCCTCCCAGCAGGCCGGCTCCTCTCAGGACGAAGACGAAGAGGATGACATGTGATTCCCAGGCGACATGTTTCAACTTGTCCTGATCCCTCGCTGGGACGGTGTTGGCACACAGATCTCCTCGTACTGTCACCGGCAGAGACATGAGACGTGTTAGACTGCTTAGTGTAACATTGATAATACACATTGGAATGGACAGTGAAGAGAAGGATGAAAAGGGGATTGCCACACGTTCTGATACCAGAACCTGAAAATGATTTGAATTGAGAGGCTGTTGATGAAGTTGTTTGATTTATCTCTTCTTCCCCCATTTTTTGTTCAGTTGCTTCTGTTTCTGTCTTGGCATGTTTTGAGTAATTTTGTAGATTTCTGGATGTGTTGTGGATGCACTGAAGGCAGACGTTGCCTGGGATCCGTCAGTGGATATTGGTGGTAAAGCAGCAAAGTGTTTGCTTCTTCAGGTACTGCACCAGATAGCTTACCTTCATCCGTTATTCCCAATCACTTTAAGAGAACTGCTTTAGAAAGTTTCAAAGCAGACGATTTCTCCTTTCTTGTGGTCTCACAGGATCGTTGTATTGGAATGTTTTTCGTTGGGTAGAGGAATAAGCGGACCATTTTGTTTAAATTTAACACATTCAGACACTTTTTGCTGCGTTTTCTTTCTACCTTGAACCACACACAGTATTGCTAATTAGCCACACCTTTCAGAAACGGAATATTTTTGTCTCCTAGAACCAAAGACGGACTAACAGCCCTGACAGATTTGAGTGTTTTTAAAAGGTGTAGGTGCTACTGTGATTGTCCTCACTGACTCCGGGTCAGTGTAAACAACGTTACAGATTATTAACCTACCACTTTGTAAGATGCTTTGATATCCAGGCTGAATTTGGTATTTCCCCCTCTCCCTTGGGTGCAGTATCGAACATTTGCATTGTAACTGTGGTCAATCCTCAGTGTAATGACAAGTAAACTTTTTGTGACAAACATTCACTTGGCTATGCTATGGAAGTTGTATTCTTTAAGCAATAAAGGAATCATGTTTTATAGACAATGGTTTTGTCTTTGTCTTTATCTGTTATACTGATCTGCCTCCCCCCCCCCCCCCACACACACACACACACACACACACACACACACACACACCTCTCTGCTCACTCTGTGTCGGTGCTCTCTGCCTCCTGGGAGTGTCCCATGTGAATGGAAAGGTGGACGGAGGAGAGGCAGCTGAGCACACATCCCATTTAGACCACAGACTTTTTGTCTTGAGCATCACTTTCTGAAGAATTTTCTCTTCCAACATGGCGGGAGCAATTATAGAGAACATGAGCACAAAGAAGTTGGTTATCTTGGGTTTCTTTATTCTTGTTTTCCAGATTCTTTCTGTCATGGTTGGAGCGTTTATCGGTGAGTAGGACGTTTTTATTGACTTAATTCTGCAGCCTTAAAAAAAAGCCAATTAAGCTCTGCGAAACGACTTCTCCCAGTGCGGCTCAAATATGACATGAAACTGTATGTTGTGTACTTGAGCATAACTCAAACCGCATGTCTCTGACAGATTCCTCCACTTTCCCATAGCTCCCAGTCCTACCAGTGCAATCCGCTACCTGGCCACTAAGTGCATTAATCGCCACAGGACGCTGGGCTGGCTCATGCCGTGGGGATCAAACCGGTGCCAGCAGATCCATAGTTTCGATGAGCCTCTTGCAAAAATAGTGGATGCCAACGATATAGTGTTTGCTGTGCATCTTCCTCTTCCTGACACGGAGATGAGTCCCTGGTTTCAGTACATGCTGGCTGTGCTTCAGTTTGACATTGCGTTCAAAATGATCAATCCGATCGGTAAGAGTTGTTTTCTGTGTCAGACATTTCTAGTCATTTTGCTCCAAGCTAAACTCTATGCTGTTTCAGAAATAAAAAAGAGCGTAATCATGTTCTTGTTTGTGCAGAAGATGATGTCATCGTCACTATTGATGCTCGTCTGGCACACAGAGATGATTTGAAGTCAGAGTGGAGCACAAAGTTTCACTCAGTCGAGCAACGGCCACTGAAGTGCACCTTTGAAGTTGCAAAGGTAGATCTGCATGTCGGAGTGCAACTAACCATTTGAATTGTTGCTTTATGTTCTATTAAGTAAAGGCAAAATCACACATAACGGGAAGAACAGCAAGATGACATTACCAAACAACCTGACGACAGAAAACACCAGAAGGCTTGTTTAAAATAAAACGAGAGCAGAGGAAAGAAATGTTAGATAAGATAAAATACAGAGGATTGATTGATCCATTCAGTGTGTCTGTAATTTGAATAATGGTTATTATATTATATTTTTATAGATATCAAGTCGGCCGTATCTAAGCGTCTATATAATCCCACTCTTGATTAAATCACATTATTTATATCACATTATTTTACCTTTGTTACAGTTGCTGGTGGTTTATTTCTCCAATGAAAGCCCGAGTAATTGATTAATCTGAAAATATATATTTTTTTACTTTAATGGGGTAAATCTTTTGGTTCATAAAATACCAAGAAAGTAGAAAAAGCTGGGCGGCGCAGCTTTCCTAGTGGTTAATGTGCGTTCCCCACCTACAGAGGCTGTAGCCCTCCAAGTGGGTGACCCGGGTTTGAATCCGACCTGTGGCTTCATTCCTGCATGTCATCCCCCACTCTCTTTCTCTCTCTCTCTCTCTCTCTGTGTTCAGACTCTGTCCACTGCCCCAAAATAAAGCTTACAAGCAGAAAAAGCTCATCACTATTTCCAAGAGCCTTAAGTGATTTCTTTCAAATGGCTTCCCCATTCTGAAGGTCAAAATTCTGAAGTCTCTTTGTTTACTGTCATTTATGTCAAAGAAAAGCAGAAAATACTCACATTTCTAACGTTTAGAATTTAAAATACTTAGATATCTGGGATTCATTTTCATTCAGTCGATTTTTCCACAAGGCGTTGAAGCTCTAACTGCATGATGCTCATAAATATAAACCAAATGTTTTCTGCTTTGAAACCTGAAACAGTCCATGATTTTGCAGACGTATGAAAATGAAGGGCGTTTTTATCAGTGTGACCCCGTACCGTTCATGGAGCTAGGAAGTGTGGCACATAAATATTTCCTCATTAACCTGCGCCTGCCGGTGAATGACACGGTCAACGTTGGCATTGGAGACATAAAGGACGTCCATGTTGTGGTGAGGTTTATCATTCTATCGTATGGATTTATTCCAAAGCCTGCATGGGTTATATCTTCCAGCTTTTTTTGTCTTTTATGTCTGTGTTCTTCAAGGGCATACACCAGAACGGAGGCTTCACTAAAGTGTGGATCAGCATGAAGACTGTGTTCACGCCCTGGATCTCCATGGAAACGGTTTGGTACTGGCACAGGATCAGCCTCATGGCAAGACCTCCAGTCCTTTTGGAAAAGTAGGAGCAAATAGAATACAATAACCAAATGAACAGTATTAAAGGTCATACATGTTCCGCAAAATACACTTTACCATGTTTCTCTAACACTAATGTGTGTTCCTAATCTGTCGACAAACCCCTAAAATTATAAGAAAAGTCCATCCTCTTTGTCTTTTGCCTGCTCCACTTTTTCAGAAAATGTGTGCTCAATCAGGCCGTTTGGAGATTTTCCCTTCATGACATCACAAAGGGCAGTAACCCCTCCCCCAGCTGTGTGGCACTCCCACAGCTAGGTGTTTGTTCTGCCCTTCTCACTCTTAACAATAGGACCTGGAGCAAGAAAGCCTGAGCCACCCAAGTCCTTCCAGAGGGGCGTGGTCAGACACAGCTCATTTACATTTAAAGCTACAGACACAGAAACAGCCTGTTCTGAAATAGAGGGCTTTATATTGTCTGTAGGTGTGAATGTGAGTATGGCGGGTTGTCTGTATCTATATGTCAGCCCTGTGATTGACTGGTGAACAATCCAGGGTGTACCCCACCTCTCGCCCAATGACAGCTGGGATCGTCTCCAGCCCCCCACAACCCCGAATGGGAAAAGCGATAAAGATGATGGAGGGATGGATGTCATAATGAAAATTAACCACAATAAAATTGAATTAGAGTATTAGCAATTGTAGAATTTGTTTTGAAAGGAGCTCTATTATTCTATGCTTTGCACTCGTATTTTTTAATTCAGGTTGTTCAAAATATTTGTTTTCTTCAGAACAGGCTCTACATATTGGTTTGTAGGTTAAATACATTATTAGCTTTCTTTAAAGGTAGAGAGTGAAGTCACCCCGATTGCTCTTGGTTGAAACACTGAGTGCATCCCAGGCTTTGTGAGACAATCGGTGTACTTGAAGCAGGAGGTAAAACTTCTATCAAACCATTAAGGGGTCTAAACGACCTCAGGGTATTTTTTGGGAGAAACATGCTCGATCTTAAGTGCAAGATTTCCCTGAGACATTGAGGTCAAAACTCCACCCCCAGCAAAAGAGCACATGTAGGTGAGCACTTTGGGTTTGGATCCCTGTGCAGGGTGATTGTTGCTCTCGGCATCTCTATGACGTTCCTGAACGTGCCGGTGGAGTGGCTCTCTCTGGGCTTCGAGTGGACGTGGATGCTGCTGTATGAAGATGTTCAACAGGGCGTCTTCTACTCCGCCCTCTTCTGTTTTTGGATCATCTTCTGCGGTGAACATCTCATGGTGAGCACCTTTTATTGCTTGCTGCTGCATTCTCCTGCACGCTTTCATGCTATTTATTCACTTTCTTTTACTTAAAAAAAATCCTTCAGGACCAAAGTCGGAGGAATCGACTCTCAGCGTACTGGTGGCAGCTTGGGCTGGTGGTGTTTGGCTCTTCTGTTCTCCTCATATTCGACCTGAGTGAACGGTAATGACATGACTGCTCTGATTAGGTACTTTATGGTCGAGTCTTTCTTCTCGATATCTTAATGTGCTTTATGTGTTTTAAAGGGGGGCTCATTTGACCAACCCTTTCTACAGTGTTTGGGCATCAGAAACTGGGACAAGAGTGGCAGTATCCTTCACAACATCACTATGCTGTCTCATAAACAGTGTGACCTCTAAGAACAGCTCTGGCTCTTTTCTTGACTGTCATCACAGATCACTTTCATTATCGTGGCAGGGATTTCTGTTTGCCTGTATTTCCTCTCCCTCTGTGTCATGGTGCGCTGTGTGTTCAGGAACATTGGAGGGAAAATGCAGCAACTTCCTGCAATGCCAGAGGCTAAAAGACGACACTACAAGGTTTTATTTTTATTTTTTAATTAGACGAGGGATGTCTCAGTTGGTTGATTTGGCGCTCCAAGTCATTGACAGGTGCAAGCTCAAATCTGACCTGACTTTTTTTTGGTGCATGTCTACCCCACTATCCATCACATAAGTCCTGTCTCTCTAAATGTATTCAATTGGACAACTGTAAAGACCATCAAAACTGATCTTCATCACCAGAGCAAGATTTTCACCCAGAAAACAGCTAAATAAGTGAAGAACAAAGTAAAATAAAAAAGAGCCAAGGTTTCCTTTAATGGCTTTTTATTTGTCTGTTCAATTCATTCTTGACCTAAAGACAATGTTTTCTAAAAGGAAATAAAATCCTCTTTATCATTTTTTTTATCTTATGCTGTGCCCATATAGTCCACCATACAAATAGTTTAAAAACACTGCAATACAACCGATAAGTCATTATGTCTGCTGCTAATGAATTGTTGCTGTTCTCGGCAGGGGATCATCTTCAGGTTCAAGTTTTTGATGCTGGTTACTCTAGCATGTGCAGCTATGACTGTCATCTTCTTCATCTTAAATCAAGTAAGTATCTCAATATCCTCAGACGACCAACATTCAAGTTTCACTCCTTTGATCTATGATAAATAAAAAAGCCAGTGTACCTGTACTGCCCTGTACCTGTGCAAATGACATAAACATCTAATCCTTATGATGTTCCATCATGACAGGCTTGAGCTGTGAAAAGTATTTAAAAACTTTTCATTTTCTGTTATTAGGTGAGTGAAGGTCACTGGCATTGGGGAGACTTCACTCTGCAGGCCCACAGTGCTTTTGTCACAGGGGTCTACGGCATGTGGAACCTGTATGTTTCAACCATTATGTTCCTCTATGCCCCCTCCCACAAGTTTAACAAGCAGAGGCCTGGACGAGGCAGTCGACTAACAGGTCTGTAGTGTTTTTACCTTCAAGTTAAGTTACAGTTCCCAGATAAAAAAAATAAAAATGTACAGTCTTTCACTTGCAAATTTATCAGACGTGTTTTGTTGCTAAAAGTCTTAGATTATGTTCTCTGCTGGCAGATATGCAGGAGAAGCCGGAAAGCCAAGAGACCCAGCTGACATTGGAAGAGCAGGGGCCGACCGAGACGTACAGGATCACAGGAAAGGTGGCTGAGGAATAAATAAAAACTCCATCTAGTTCATGAAGCTAGTTTATTTTACTGGTGTGGTTTCTGTAAGGTTTTAACCAAATAATGAACATTGCAATACAGACTGTTTAAAATACAGTTACTTTCACAAACACAGTGACATAGATAGAAAGGCACAGAGGAGAAGTGAACGCTGAATATAAAATATGATTCCATTTGAAGCTTAGATTTGCTGGGCAAACTGTGGGAAATTAGTTACAATCTTTGAATAATAAAAGTAACATGGACCTTACATTTAATGCCAAGGGGATGATTGGGGTTCATATGGCCTTGCAGCAAGTTTCTACCCTCGGGGCGGCCGCTCAACTCTAACAGCATCCAAAGTGTTGGACTGTAATTTACTTTTTAAGCTTAAGGGCACATAAATAAAACTGTATGAGATATCATGGCTTAATGTCAACCACTAGTATTTGACCCTTTAAAATGTTTTAAGTCCTCCCTACACAGTGATTTGAGTTGTGAACACTAAAAAGTTCTGAAACAATTTAGGGCAATATAATAGCCTGGATTTGGTTTTGGATTTACACATTTACTTTGCAAGTTATACAAATCTGTGTTTTTGTTGTTTTCAATCTATCCTAAAGTCTTGTATTAGAACCTTTTCTAAATAAAACAATATTTATTTACCAACAATGTCACCTGCCAATAATAAACATAACAACTACTTCTTAAGATTTTCAACTCTCACTTTAGATTTGTTTTAGCCAAATTCATGAAAAGCAAGATTTACAAACCCTAGGTTATATAGATCAGGGTTGGTGGGTGTCCGGACCCCTGGGGTCACCAGGGGGCGCGGAAACATGAAAATGGTCCAAAAATAAAAACCAACTCAAAACATTATTTGTGACAATGATTGTATACCATTTAGGTTATTAATATATTTGTATCCTAGGAAACACACATATTAATAATATATACACATATACGTAAGTATCATTGGTGTGTTTTGTGTTTGCCAATCTCGATAATAAAAAGCACACACACCACTCTAGCCAATCAGAATTAAACTGCCGCTGAGGGACACTTTATCAGAAAGTTGCTGTACCACTAAAAACTAGCTGCTAGCTGTTTCTAAAAAAGAATAAGACCACCAAGTGACCCCTCAATAGAACCACAAAATATCAGCAGGGCATCCTGATCTTATGTCTAACTAAAAGGAATTTAAGACATTTTGCGAGAAGGGGTGCTCCCCCCCTCAGAGGCTAATAACGCTTTATGGGGGTCCTTAACATGGCAAAAACTGACAGTGCATGTTGATTTGTTTGTTTGTTGTGTTTACTCAGAAATGGACTGAGCAATAAAAATGCTATACTGTCAACAAGGAATATGTGTTGTTAACACACGCTGACAGTGTGCACTCCAGATATTGTCTCATTGATGTCAAATGTGTACATGCGCAGCCTGCCGGCAGAGGGCGCTGTTGTCTCCTCCTCTCAGCCCTGCAGCTCAGCAGCCTGCCGGCAGAGGGCGCTGTTGTCTCCTCTCAGCAGAGAGGTGAGTCTCAGCCCTGCAGCTCAGCAGCCGCCAGCAGCAGATGTTTCTCTCTCCGGTCGCTGCTTCTCACATCAACAGGTCGCCGTTTTTTGAATTTCTGCGTCTTGAACTTTTTTTTCGACACAGCTGGAGTGCCTTTCTTTTAAATTAAATCCCCTGCATCTGCTGTTTCATCGCTCGACTTTGAGAAAACAGAAACTATCGGATCAGAGAGGCCAGGTGAGTATCAGCCCGGAGATTACATGAATCTTCTTTACGTAGCTGTAACATGACATGACGGCGGTGTGAGAGCAGCTTGTAAACTATAACAACCAGTCGATCACAATAATATCATCCTCTGAACATGTTTTTAAACCAGTAAGCTTTTTTTAATTTGGGACAAATCTGCATGAATGTAGTGCAGGATATTTCCATCAGGTCGATAGGCCACCTGTTTGATTCGTCATTTGTGTGTCATCTTTAAAAGAAGGGCAAACACTCGTTTTTCAGCCTTCAGGTGTGTAATGGAAGCACAGGTAACAGGTGGGCACACATTAGAGGAATAACAGAGGAAACGGCTTTACTCGGTCATGATGAAAGTGCATTTCTGAGAAAGTGAATAACAGGGAAGTTGACGAAAAAGTTACCCGATGCTGATTGAACATTAGGCTACTATTAAAGCCACTTGTTCGATTCAACTTTTATTTAATGGTTGCATCCATCCACCGATTATTTGCCTGTGTCGGTTAATCTGTTGATAGTTGTTTCGATTAACCGATTAGTTGCGCGGTCTATTCGCCTCTACTGTAGGAAAGAGGAGATTAGAAGAGTTAAATGTCAGTGTTTCCAAAACCTTTAAAGGATTACTTCAAATATCTGAAGTCCTTAAACCTAAGAATGTTTTCTTGTCATAGAAAGTGAAAAAAAAAGAATAAAACGAAACATTGAATTTGTACCCTTAAATTGTTTTATAATTTTTAAGACAATGAGCAACAGGCCTACACATTAGACATGCTGATAAATTAATTAGCTAACTGTTACATAGGCCTCGCTGTCTTTATATAACTTTATTTGAACTAAAACGTACCCAAAATCAGGAAGGACTGGAAACACAGTCAGAGAATATTAAAAAATACATTTTTATTTCAGGATGCTTGAAACTGTTATTATAGATGTTGGTTGTCTTGAATGACAAAGGTAGTGTGGGTTGTTGTGGAGCTGCAACAAGGAATGACAGACATAAATTAAGCTTAATTAGGCCTGTATAAATGGACTGACAAAAACATGTTGTGGTTCCTGTTTCAGCTGTTCAGTAGGTTGTCACAATACCAGAATTTCAAATGTTAATACAATGCTAGTAAAAAATGAATATCAGTTTCTATACTATGTTGAGAAAAGTAGAAGTTCAAGGTTTTCAGTATCACGTCATTTCTTGTTTTTTATGTCACAAGAGTTACGAGCAGACTCCTGCACACGTCTTCATTGCACAAACACATTGGCAACATTTCCTATGAAAACATTGCCAAGGCATTTTGTGCAATGTAGTAGACAATGCGCTCGCCTGAAGATCTGTGTCATTAAAATAACAAAGACTGTATTGTTAAACAACATGTGGTATCTAAAAGAATCAGAGTATCGAGCATTTTCACAATCGTGTAATCTACAGCACCACTGTGGGCCTCGAGGGAGAGTCATTTGAATATTTGGATGCTCTTCTTTCAACATCACCCTAATTACAGGACATTCTGGACATATATAATTCTGTCTGACATTTTAAAGACTGAAGATTTGGCCGCTCAGTGGAAACTGAATTGACTGACTGACTACTAAATGTTGCTCCAACATCTGCTCTTGTACATCTCTGGCCTGATTCATGATCAGGTCATTGTCTTCCATGTTCATGTGTTGAGTTGAATCTGAAGTATTTTTTAAACAAAAGCTGCAGTCGGTGAATGCGTAGAACCACATACAAGTCATTGCGAAATATTTGCTGGGCATATTTTTGTGTTGTTTTCCTTTTTAAAAAAAAAATGGCTTCAGTCAGCTGCATGTGGCTCCACCTGTGTGGGTCTATGGTGCTGACGTGGGTTTGGCTGTGTTGCCTGGTTACACCACATTCAGACCATAGCGTGGTTTAATCTCGTGAGAGCGTCACCCTCCTCCTCCCCTCTCTCCCCTTCTCTCTATCCCTCGACTCAAATTCCACGCTGGCCTCCTTGGAGCCGGTGTGTGCGTCACTGCTCGGGCTCACAAAGACCTTCAGAGAATGCTTCCAGTCAACACAGCTACATGTGAAATTTGCTTGGACACACGTCAAAGCTCTCTCAGCCTCCTCAGCTGAGCGTTACACAGTGCCCAAAGTATTAAACAGTCACTGAGTGTGTGAGTTGATGTGTCACACATGAGGCTGCAAAGCATTCACTGCTTGTCATCAGGTGATGAAGGCTTCAAAAAGACTCTCTGAGTGATTACCTTCCTTCCATCACCGGTGCTACTGTTCCTGTTGAAGCTGATAGTATTTTAAATGCACATTTCATTTATGTCTTTATTTATAACAAGGATCTTCAAACAAGTTACAGCCGGTGTGGTGGCCAGTGATAAAGTATGTCATGTGTACATTTTATCCTAAAAATACTGCATAGAAACCTTTAAACCTCTGTTAACTAGAACCCCCCATTTCCATATACTTCATGCCCGTCAGCGCCGCGTGCTACGCCACCATTCGCTGCCACTCTAGTCAACGACTGTTTCCATAGTAAGCGCCGCGGTCCGTCTCCAGAGCGTGCCAGCAGCGCCACTACACTCTACTCCGTCCTCACTCACGCTGCAAGTCTTATTTTCAATGAAGTACGATGCAGGCACGCGTCAAACTGCGCAGAATAGAACAGGAAGTCTGACAGGAAGTCAGACAAGGAAACGCACAGAGCTCAAGAGTCAATTTTTAAATTCAAACAAAATGAATGGCCTCACCATCGTATTTCCTATCACTTTATCGACATTAGTTCAAAACAACCTCAGAAAGACAAAGCAACGTGTTGTTTGCTCTCGGTCAAAACGATAACAAAAGACTGTTTCCACAGCAACAGTAAACATGTCGTGCCGGTGGCTCTGTAATGGCGGCCGCCACGACAAGGCACGTCCCATTACAACTATAAAGTTACAGGTTTCTCTGTTATTGATAATTGTTGGAAACATTTGAGGTAATTGAAGTGCACAACTACAAATATATATAACACAGGTTTAGTCAATTTTTAATGAATTTAGATATTTAGTGTAAACATTCTAATACACATCTAAATATTGTACCTTCAGTCAGATGAAGCTCAAGCTAACTGTCAACTACCTTTTAAGATTTGGGATGCAAGAGTTGCAACATGTTGCAAACAGTTATTGTGTAAAACACGAAGAACAGCAGATACATGATGATTTATACTTTTGTCATATCTTGCAGGCCCAGGAGATTCTTTTGCAATATGTATCCTGGCATGGCTTCATTAGATGATTATTTGGAAGTAGTAAATCTAAGAACCATTGCTTCAAGAGATTAATGTCTCTTCTGGATGTTTAAATACTCTGTGATACTCTATAACTCTTTTTTAGATTTCATAAAAACCACAAGAACTTCTAGGTAACGCTCGTCGATATAAACCGTCTCTGAACAGTTTATCCTTCGATCAGCTGGTGTGAGGCCTCACTGTCTCTCTGTCATCACAGCTGAGAGCTCTCAGGTCGTCACCCGGCACAGTGACACACACGGCCCTGTGTGACAGCAGCCGGGTCACTGACTGCTGTCATCATGTGAGTGATATGTGACACTATGGGACCTGTCATGATGCGTGGGTTATTTCTAGACTTTGTGTAGTCCCAAATAAAATGATGGATGGATGGATGGATGGATGGATGGATGGATGGATGGATGGATGGATGGATGGATGTTTGTCTGGGCCGGTGGGACTAAAACACAGCTGACACAATTACACCAACCAGCTCCTGCAGGTCTCCATGGTGCATCTGTTCATCATCAGGGGAATAAGTCTCTCATAAAGACACTGTCATTAAATTGAATTATCTTCTTTAGCGCCATCCTCTAGTCAACTGGTTCTTCTGGGTGACGAAGGCACTAATTGGTTGGTTGTGTGTCACTTTGTGTGCTTACAGGACTCTTCACAGCTTTTTCAGCTTGTTGGTCATCCTATTCTGAAACCATCCGTAACTACAGTATCGGGTTGGATACTACGTTTACAACACAGCAGCACAGGTAGCAGAATTTTAAACTTAGACATGACAGCAGTAAAGATCAAACAACAACACGATATCACGGCAACAAAAATGTCGAGATACGGGACCATGTAGTGGTCGGTGTGCGCGCCCCAAATGTGGAGGCTGTGGTTCTCCAGGCAGGTGACCTGTGGCGCCTTTCCCACATGTAATTGATTTCTGACTCTATCCACTAAAATCTAAAGAAAAAAAAAATGGCTACGTACAACAAACCAGTCCAAAGGCACACAACGTTTTGTCATTTCTTGTTTATAATGACCAAAAATTGCATAAATTGCAATAGTTACTTATTAGCATGTTAATTAGCAGCATACTGGCGGTTTATAAGTCATTATAAAGCACTTATTAGTACCTTATTTTACATGACCATAGTCTGTAGCCTCTGTAAATAGCCATTAAGAGTTTCCCCTCATTACCCTTCTAATCACTGTGTATTGATAGTAAGTGAGGAAGTTGTTGAACATGAATCATGATCTTTATAACTTCCACTTGTGTTGAAGTCATTTTTGACCAGGAGTAACTTTGACCAGAGTAATGAAGTTGTGTACTTCGTCCACCACTGCTTACAATACAACACGATACCATACCATATAATATGATGTCATACAATGTGATTCAATGTGGTACACATTATGTGACTATAGTAAAGTCAGTGTTATACTTCAGTGTTGCACACAGACAGCTGGCTCCACGGTAGAATCAATAAATAACAACATTAGAAAACTTTGGACAAATTCAGTTTTGGTCCTTCAGTAAATTTGTGTTTTGGTTTTGGGGTTGGACTATTAAAAAAAAAACGGTTATTGTTAATGTTATTCGTTGTTGTACAAATGTGTGCTGGGGGGACGGCATAGCCTTCTAGTCCGACCTGTGGCTCTTTTCCTGTATGTCATCCCCCCCCCCTCTTTCCCTGATTTCTAACCCTTTCAACTGTCTCTAAATAAAGGCAAAATAAACCTTGCTATGATGCTGCTATACTGTTTGTCAGCATTGATCCCTAAAAGTTGAAACTATTTGAAATGTATAAACATCTTTAAATAATTAATATAATTAGATTAATAAATATAAATAATAATCAGAATGATGTAACTCATAGATGACTGAGGATGCTGAACACGATTTGCTGATGTTGCAGACTTGTATGGTACCTGACACACCTGTTATTGTCCTGATGAAATCACAACTTGTGAGTCTTTGGATAATTATTATAATAATTGTGTGTTTCATATGTCTACAAAGCTTTAACATGAAGTCATATTCTTAGTTATAGGATGTTGAGCTCCTGTTAGACTGAATTACTGTTTATCCTGACCTGAGACACAAAAACAATCCTCTGACACCGTCGAGCACGGTCAACTATAAACTAGAGGAGGAAGTAAAAGGTTGCTTAAAATATCTGTGGTGTCAACATTGTGAAATAACAGACGTCTGAGTGTTGTTGTATTAGATCAACCGTTACTCTCAGTTTGTTCTGGTTACATTGTTCTAGTGTTGAAGTCAAGACCACATTAACCAAGACCAAGACATACCCAAGACCAGAGTGCTCCAAGACCGAAACAAGACCAAGACGTTAGGGATCGAGATCAAGTCAAGACCAAGATATTTAGGGATCGAGATCAAGTCAAGACCAAGACGTTTAGGGATCGAGATCAAGTCAAGACCAAGACGTTTAGGGGTCAAGATCAATTCAAGACCAAGACGTTTAGGGATCGAGATCAAGTCAAGACCAAGACGTTTAGGGGTCGAGATCAATTCAAGACCAAGACGTTAGGGGTCGAGATCAAGTCAAGACCAAGATGTTTAGGGATCGAGATCAAGTCAAGACCAAGACGTTTAGGGGTCGAGATCAAGTCAAGACCAAGACGTTAGGGGTCGAGATCAAGTCAAGACCAAGACGTTTAGGGATCGAGATCAAGTCAAGACCAAGACGTTTAGGGGTCGAGATCAAGTCAAGACCAAGACGTTAGGGGTCGAGATCAATTCAAGACCAAGACGTTTAGGGATCGAGATCAAGTCAAGACCAAGACGTTAGGGGTCGAGATCAAGTCAAGACCAAGATGTTAGGGATCGAGATCAAGTCAAGATCAAGTCAAGACCAAGACGTTTAGGGGTCGAGAATAAGTCAAGACCAAGACCATAAATATCTCAGAAAAATCATCTTGTGTGATGGTTAGACTGTCACCACAGGAAGTTTGCAGCTGTAACTGGGGGATAAATATGAGTTGAAGTCGTTTGTCTTTTAGAAAAATCAGTTTTCCTTTCCCGGTAATGACAAAAATAGCCTTTCAGCGGTGGTCTTGACCGGTTTAAAATCCGGAGTCCGCCCAGTCTGAAACTGAGACAAGACTGAGTAAAAATGCTTTAGACTCAGAGGCGAGACCGAGACCTTCAAAAAGTGGTCTTGAGTCCGGTCTTTTGAGTACTACAACACAACATTGTTCAATACAATCTAATACTCAAATATAATATGCTGCACAACAATGAGGAGGAAAACAAAACAAACTTGTTCCCCTCGTTTACAGCTCTGTGTATAAGAGACACAACTTCTGACATCATGTTTGTCTACTTTATTCTCACATATAATCCACACTGTTGTATCCAGGGTACAAAAATACAGCTACAACACTTTGTTACCCTTTTAAGGTAAAATACCTGGATTGTAATTTTCATGATTGTCTTTTCTTGTCTTTCCAGATTAATGCTGCTCTCATATAGTGGGACGACCCGTTGCGTACTCGTTGAGGTCTCTCTCTCCACACAGGTGTGTATCTCTGTGAGAACACTTCCCCTCTTTTGAGTCGCCTGTTGTCACCGGCGACGCTCTTTACTGTAATTGAGAGAAGGATCATTTTACAAACATTGTTTCAGCAGTCTTTCATTATTCATCAGACCCAGCCCTCTCAAGTCTGTCATATCCAGAGACACATTTTAACTGTCAGTGTGGTGCTGCCCTCTGGTGGTAGAACAGTGATCTTTATGTAGAAGCAAATGAGTTTATGCATTTAGAGACTGCTAGCTAAAGTGTCAGTAGGAGATATAGAAAGATATACTGAATATTAAAATAAAATACAAAGAAATACAAAATGTACTGTGTTGAAAATTGATATTGCATAGACACACACACACACACACACACAAACACACACACACATTATATATATTTGTGTGTAGTGTGTAAAGAGTTGCATTGCATGATGTTAATTAGTATAACATCTTTCAGTAGGATCAAGTTGTTCAAAGGTAATCTATTTGGATTAAGGCTATCCAATGGGACGAAATCTTGTAGATCCATCCGTCCATTATCTACTGCTTTTCCTGTTTGGGGTCGCAGGGGGCTGGAGCCGATCTCAGCTGCCATTGGGCGAGAGGCGGGGTTACACCCTGGATCCTGACTGACTGTCAATCACAGGGCTGACATATAGAGGCAGACAGAGGCAATTTTTGAGTCACAAATCAACCTAACGAGCACGTTTTTGGACTGTGGGAGATGCCACGCATGCACATGGAGAACATGCAAACTCCACACAGAGAGGCTCCTGGGTAACAGGGATTCAAACCATGAACCTTCTTACTCCAGTACTAACCACTGCACCACTGTGTAGCCTTGAAATCTTGAATATGGGTTGTTCAAAAGAAAAAAAGTGCTTTGTGTTATCTGGATAAAAACTCCTGTTTGTTTTGTTTTAACCTTTGAGTAGGATTGAGGATCCAGTTATTCTGATCAAGCTCAGGGTTGATTCAGGCTGGCAGGAACAAAATGTAATCAAACTTTAGAGAAGGTCAAACCAAACAATTTTACAATCATGTCGATCAAAATAATTAATTTAAAATTGATAATTGCTCCTGTGACATAGTAGATAAGTAGACTTGTTGTTTCCCCCTTTAAATATTCCACCAAACAGCTGTTTACATCATTCATTAATATTGTCATTCATGGATTTTGGCGCCTCTTGTGAAAAAAGTATGAAGTGTGTTGTACCATTTGGAGCACGTGTGAGCTAGAATTTGTAATCTTAAGAAGTCTGTGTCTGGTTCAGGTTGATCCATCTAATACATTTTTAATCTAGAAAGTAAGCTGCAGCAGCTGATTTTAAACCCTTTGAACAACCGAGGCCAAATGATCCATTAAAGAATCTCACTCTCTTGTGTTGTGCGACCGCTTGTCCACCACATGATGGCAGTGTTGTGCAGTCTATGATCTCTACTGTTCCGGTTTGAGATCATTCATCTGTTCACTCATATAGTGCAATTACTACTCTGGATTAAACACAAACATTGATGACTGATCCGCAAACCTCTCTTTGACCACATTTGGTCACATCAGAACTGGAACCAAGAGAATCATCTATTCCTTGAGCCAAATGTTCCTTAATGGTACATGTGTACTTCTCTTTGCAGTGTTGTCTGGGTTTAATTAGTAAAGAACTGTGTCTGCATTGTAGCCATGCTGTATGCTGTACATGTGTTAATTAATAACATACAGGTCTCTATGCTTCTGGTATCCTGCACATGTAGTGGAGTGGGGAATGTGGGTGCAGCTGGGTGGGGAAGCAGATTTAGAGGCATAAGAGGCATAAAGATGAATCAAATGGTTAATCGATCTGAATGGAGGAATTGTTTTAGAGTGTAGCATCCTAAAGACAGCTTTAGGAGAGAACAGGGTAGGTTTGATTGATTGAACAACAATGTGAGTTTGATGTTCAGTGTGAGAGTGAGCAAGTAGGTGCAACAAAGTCATTTTCTGCGAGTGTGCAGGTGTGTTGCTAATTGCCTGCAGGACATCGCCTTTTTGCACAGCAGCTGCCGAACAGAGAAAAACCTGCTCTTTGAAATAACTGACACAACACTGATACCATCCAGCCATTAGGCAGCTTGTACTGTATGTATATATATATATATATATATATATATATATAAAATTAATAATGATAAAGAGCATTATAAGAACCGTTGAGAGAAAGTATGTGCTCGATGCAACTTGAGCTTTCGAGTGTTGGGGAGTGTGTTTATACGTGGAGGAAGTATTGCATTGTTGTTGCACCCAAGGGAGATCCCGGGCCTTAGCAGGCAAGTCCTCCATCCTGTTTCATAAGCATCTGCTCATATATGGGCATCTTCTTTCTTTCTTTCTCCTGCGTTGCAATTCGTCTGCTTCCTAAACACCCCCCCCCCCCCCCCCCCTCCCCTTCAACTCCTCATTTCCTCTGAATCTCGCCGCTCCCACTCCCTCCTAATTCACACTCCTACTCATGTCGGTTACTGCTGGGCAGAGGCGGGAGTGCCTCTTCCCTCTGCAGGAAGTAATCTCATTTGATCACCAGTACTGATGCTTGCATCCATGGCTATTAAAACCAGAGCGCTGATTTTGCAAATGCGTGTTCCTTTAGTATCCATATGTTACAGATGATGGACATAGCACAGAACATGTTTCTGTATGTTTCCATCATGCCACTCATGTCCCTCTTTGATTTTTGTTCATGCAAGAGGAAGACAGAGCCCTGTTCATTGTTGAAGACACAGAACTGAATACATTTTTCTCCCTTGTTTGTCTTTTCAGCTTTCTTCTGTTCTCAGGAACTACGACGTAGCCTTTGATGCCTGTGTAAATAAACCTAACACTTCTGCAGATTCATGTGTGTTTTGTGTATGTGCACCTCTGATTCTGGGAATTCGGTGTGCACTGGGTGGCCTCAAAGTGCCCTGGATGCATGCAGATTCCCTCTGGAGATTAGCCGACCTATCTTCACAGCTGTAATGTAGACACATGTTGCCTTTGAAGTAGGACAAACAGTCTCATCAAGTGTTTGGCCACAGGGCACAGAAAGTTTCACTACGCTGCAGCTGGGGCTCCTTTAACCACTCACTTCTTCTTTCTGGTCACCTGAAACAACATTTGCAATATAAACAGCATGCTTTAAAGTTAATGCTGAAGATGGAATCATACAAATGTGGTTTATTAGCACAGGAACAGTTCCTGTGAAAGGCTTTGTGGGAACAAAACTGAAAGTCCACCTCAGTCAGCACTGTGCCTCCATAAAACCGTTAGCGTGGATGAATTATTACTGGACTTTCTCATGTGTATCTACCATATCCCCCTCATTGTTGCCGCCTTGTGACATATTATCAGCCCACTCAAACAACTAGGTCACTGCAGATCCAATTTCCATGGCTGAGATTTTCACACAACAGCCTGCCAGGTGCTGACTTCACCTCTGTCTGTGGAGAGTTCCGTGCATGGATTGTTTTTTAAGCCATGCTCGTGTCTTGTCGCTCAGGATGGTTACATTTCTTGATACTTTTGAGGTACCCCAGGTGATGAATCCCAATGCGATTAATTTCAGTGCACAAAACTCCTAAAATGTCCTGAATTGTTTCAGGGTGAGCTGCATTTGAGAACGCAAACAGGCATATGTTTCACTCCGACTTTACCTTGGAATCTTTCTTGCATGCCCCCCTGGTAAATCTTCTGCATATTCACGGTGATCTGATGTGAGAATGCAGCGAGATATGTTCAGTAAAAGTCAACGCAGGTGAGCGGGCGGGGGTTGACATAAATATCCTGCTGCAGAAGCAGGACAGGTGTGATCTTTGTGAAAGTAATGAAACTGCTTCATTATGTTTTCTGTTCACCTCTATCTTTGTCCCTGCTCATTTGTTGATTCAGTGAATATGTCTACTGCACATAGAATTGGTATAAAAGCAAAAACTGCATGCAACCACTGGATGCATTGACATAAAATAAGCTTCAGACATTCATGTTCCCATAAAGATAAATCCTAATCGGTTGACTTTAAACCCCACACTTGGCCCTTAAAGCGTAAGACATGTTCATGCAAGCACATATATATGCCTGACGCATGCACCATCTGCATTGTCTTTAGAATTCATTGGAGCCCTTACAAAGCACACCTTCTCTGTGGACGCCATAAACACAGTATTGTTGTTGAAAGACTGACTTTCTCTGGAGCATGAGAGCTACATGTGGGCGTGACAGATTCTGTTGATAGCAAAGAAGAAAGTGTTATATTCAGACAGTTGGTGCATTCTTCATGTATAATAAACATCGATGTAAGCAATGAGTACAAGTATGTTACTCTATTATTGTGATAAAAAACTGGAAATTGTACTGGAATACTTTTTGGAGCTCGATGCACATAACTTGAAACTGGGCCAAACCTGCACAAAGCGAGACGTCTGGTCGGAGCCATCAGCACTTCTGCAGACTTAAACACTTGTCCCAGTTTATTTTTATATCCTACATGTTGAGGTCTTTGTAAGGAAAGTGCTTCTGCCTAGCAACAATTTGACTGCTGTTAAACACCCTTTAATCATGTCTGCAGACTCCTGACAATAAACAGTGTGCACAGGCACAGCCGGCTTTATCAGTCCACGTGTGGCCATGTTCACTTTGGGACTCTTGCGACTTGTGTCTCTGTGCCACGTAATGTTCAGACAAGAATTCCTCCCTGATCTTTCCTGCGGGAGCCGTCCAGGGAATGTCGGCTTCCAGTTAACAAACATAACGGTCTGGCAGTTAGGAGAGGAAGACCCAGCAGCAGCAGCAGCCGGGCTGTCACCCTGCCCAGGAAATCTGCCCAGCCACTGGTTACATGCCTGGGATTCTTTTCCACAAGCTGCTCTTTCCTCCTTTGATTTCTTCTCTCTTAAACATTTCCCTCCACCAGACAGTGGCAAAGGAAATATTTTCCAGTCTAGAAATAAGTTTCTTGTAATTGCTTTGCCTTCAAGTTTACACTTGGC